AGAGGCAGAGGTAGGAAGTATATGGGAGCTGGAGTCAGTCAGACCTAACAACAATCCTGGATCTGCCACCTGACGACAGAGTGTCCCTGGGCAGGGCTTGTCATCTTTGGGAGTCTATTCTTTCTAAAATAGGCAGACCTATCTTTTTTTTTTTTTTTTTTGGTCTTTTTCCTTTTTATTGGTACCAGGGATTGAACTCATGACTGGCTGCTTGCAAGGCAGGCGCTTATGCCGCTGAGCTAAATCCCCAGCCCCACAAAGACCTATCTTGCAGGAGTTTTTTCAGAATGTGAGGCCATGCAGAGCCCAGCGTGGGCCCTGGCATGTAGCAGTGCTCAGCTTTTATCATTAGCCCAGGGTATCTTCATGTTCCTGAGAATTTAATTTCAGAGGTCAAGGAGAAAGGAATCTCAGAGGTCACCCTTTTTAAGTAGGTCACTTTTAGGAGCACGATGTAAGTCCAAAGCAGCATGGCCAGTTAGTGGTTGCTATGGCTTGTATCTAGACGTCCCCACAAAGCCTCATGGGGTCATGGGTAGGCTTTTCAGTGGTGGCTGGATCTAGAATGTGTGAAGCTGGGATTAAGTGTGTGATGCTGGGATCAATGATGAAGGATTACTAAATTAGTCCACTGATGGGTTTGCTGTAGTTCTGGGTGTGGATAATGGATAGCCAACCCCGGTGTGAACGCCACCCACTTTAAAGGCAGATACCCTGAAGAGACTGTGAGGGACAGAAGAGGGCTGCTGACATCACTTGCTGCTGCTGCTACACTGCTGCTTTCCATGACCTCTGTCTCCTCTGCGATGCGACTACGCCTTGGAACCAGCCAATTCTGACTGACACCCTACAAACAGAGTTAAATAAACCTTTCCTCCTTTAACCTGCAGCGTTGGGTATTTTGTCTCAGCAAAGAGAAAAGTAACTAAGATAGAGGTACCTCAGCATGTTATTGGCCTTTAGCCATGGAGACGAATGATGATAGCTGAACCACACACAAAGCCCCTGTGACACCTCACTCAGAAGGTGACTCATTTGGTCCTGCTGGTTTGCCTCTGATCACTATCACTTTAGGTTGCTATCAAAGCATCTCCACTATTTCCTTGCACATTACTCTTCTAGGGCTGCCAGAAGAAAATACCACAGATTGAGTGGTTCGTAATTTATGTAATAAAAATGGGCACCAGCAAGATGGATTTTATTCTGAGGTCTCTTCTCTTGGCTTCCCAGTGGCCACGGCCTTGCTGTGTCTAACATGGCCTTTTTGTGTGTCTGTGTGCAGGTGGATTTCAAGCCCTAGTAACTCTTTTTATAACAACACTAATACTATGGGATCAGAACCCCACCCTCTGCTCTCAGTTAAGCTTAACTACCTCTACATAGGCTCCATCTCTGAACACAGTCTCTTTGGACATTAGGGCTTCAAAGTACAGATGTGGCAGGACACAGTCTGGTCCATAGCATTATGTCACATGTCCTGCATTCCTCATGAGGTTCCATTCAGGACTGTTTTAAGCGGGATCACATAAATTATTAAGTATCTGAACATGAGATGGCATTTCTTTTTGGTTCCCTTTATAAATCCTCCAGGTCACCCTATTCACCAAATCCAAGAAATGTGGCAAAAGCCAACATTTCCATGTATGATTAGTTGTGAGAGTGAGGGTTAAAGAGTTATATGAGATATCTACCATCATTCAGAAAAAACAAAAACAAAAAACCCAAAACTCAAACAGGAGGAAAGTTTCTCTGAAGATCTGCTGTACATTTGAATGATGAACAGAATCAGTGACGATTTGACATTTATTCTGGTATTTCCAGGGGAACTGTATAAAGTAACATATTTTAAAGGAAAGTTGTTTCTTGAGAAAGATTAAGAAAAAAAAATACCCTGTCAAAATATGTAGTGGAATATTCAGATGAAGGCTGAGTGCTGAACAGGAAGAAGGCGAGGTCAAAGTACTTCTCTGGCACAAGGACCCTGTCCGTTCAGAAGCTGGCCTAGCCAAGGGTCACTCAGCCCAGTCACAGACGTTTTGGATGCTTAAGAGCTTCTTTGTGTGGCTGAATGCAAGCCGGCTCCTCTGTGAGGACAACACCCAGCATGCACACCCCTGGAAAAACGTTCTCACCAGTCCTGCTTGCCAGATGTGGCTCTGAAAAGCTTTTGGCTCTGTCCCACAGTCCTATTTAGTTCAAATTATAAAGTAGTACATGAAAAATACAGGCTTATGGAAACACTCAAACACTTCAGGAGAATATGGAATAAGAAGCAGATATTTCTTTATATTCTACCTTCTCACCACTCTAGTCCGCTTCCTGTGGATAGTGATTCTAACAGTTAGATGAGGTTTACTCTTAATTTTAAAACAAGCATTTATTTGTTTATGCGATACTGAGCGCTGACTGCAGACCTTTGCACTGAGCTACACACCCAGCCCTTTCTAAAACTTTGAGACAGGATGTTGCTAAGTTGCTACACTGAATGAATTCTAATGAGATAAAAATTATCTCATTTTTAATTATTTGGTATTTCTTTTGTGAACTGCTTATTTACATTACATTTCATAAATTTTTTCTCAAAATTTATGAAATATTTGATTTTTTGAGTTATAGAAGTCTCTTAATTATATACCCTAATCCCTTGATGCTACAAATATTTGAATTTGCTGTTAGCCTTCAAAAGTAGATGAATGTGCATAGGAAAAAAAACCCTGAAGGATTTAAATCAAAGGTTAATAGTGGTCCTAAGTGGTAGTATCATGAGTACTTAACTTTTCTCTATGCTTTTCCTCCCAAGAACACGAAACAGACTGAATTAATTTTATAAGCAGAAAAAATCCCAATAAAGCAACTAGTAGGATAAAGGAGATGAGGCTTTCATGGAAGTTCTAGAAAAATATTTCCAATTTTATTGTAAGTAATGACAGTATCAATAGAATGAGTCTCCCAAGATCAAAATGTGAAGGGATTTTAGATTAAAATTCCTCTTCTTGAATTAAAAACAGACATGGCACAGGATCAACAGTCTTTCTATATACCAACAATGAGCATACTGACAAAGAAATGAGGAAAATAATTCCATCCGCATCACATTGAAAAGATTAAATTCTCAGGAATCACACTAACCAAGGTGTAAAAACTCCTGTATGAAAAATACAGGACTCTGAAGAAAAAAATTAAAGAGGACGTTAGAAATTGGAAGGACATCCCTTGTTCTTAGATGGTCAGTCAGTATCATCAATACTGCCATTTTACCAAAAGTGATATATAAATGTCATGAAATCCCTATTAAAACACCAACAATATTCTTCACAAAATTAGAAAAAACTAAAATTTATATGGAACCAGAAGAACCCCACAACAGCCAACTCAATCCTGAGTGAAGACAGCAAAACAGAAAGCAGTGCCAACTTTCCAGTAATACTATAAAGCTACAGTAACAAAAACAGTGTGGCACTGTACAAAAACAGACATGCAGAACAGTGGAATAGAACAGAAGACATAAAACAATCCTTGTATCCACAGCAATCTGAGTTTTGACAAGGGGCCAAAAATATACACTGGAGAAAATACAGCCTCAGGGGCTGGGGATTTAGCTCAGCGGCATAAGTACCTGCCTTGCAAGCAGGCAGTCGTGAGTTCGATCCCTGGTACTGGTAAAAATGAAAAAAAAGACAAAAAAATTAAAAAATAAAAAGAAAATACAGCCTCCTTAACAAATGATCCCAGGGACACTGGATGTCCATGTGCAGAGGATTGAAATGAGACCCTTTAGAAACCCTATGAATTACTAAAAAAATACCAGAAAGTATATACTGATCAGACATAAGGAGATGAGAAGACCATGGTTTGCTGGGAAATGCAGTTGAATGAGAGTCATGGAGACTACCACGGCAGTGCCCAGGTCAGTACTGGAGTACTCAGTCCACTTGGCAGACTATGGTTAGGTAGGGTGAGTACCAGATTGTCTGGGATGGGAACACCTCTCAAGATCACCTGCATTCGCCAGTTCTGATTACACATGGCAATACAAGTTTTGCTTCTCACGAGTGGAAGTGCCTGGTGGGTAGGGTGGATGAAAGACCCTACCAAGGTGGGAATAATGACTCCTAGGATGTGGGATTTTCAAAGCCTGACCCATGTCCCTCTGGATGGCAAGAGGCTGATGAACAGGAACCTGTCCTTGAGACCAACCTGGATGGCTGAAGGTCAGACTCCAGGATGAGGGGAAGACACCAAAGAGCAGTCACCTTGGAAACCTGTAGGGAACCCGCCAGCCCCAGCAATCATCTCAACCCAATGCAGTGCTTCCCTGCCAACTTCAACAGAAGCCATCTCCACTTCCTACTGTAATAACCTCTAGTTCAGAGTGGCTTCTCAAGCCCTGGGTAGTCCTGGGGGCTGCAGCCTCACCAGCAACTCTGAATACTGCAGGACTGGATAAAAAGGAACCAAGAACAGGAAGGTAAATCTCTTAGGCGCCTAGCTTTTGTTCACTCTTGGTTTAACTAAATCTCCTGAATTGTGTCACATTATTATACAGTGAGTGATTCTTGAGAAGGCTAAGTTAGTTTATGGGCTAACTGTTCTAGGACTTAATCACTGACACAAAGAAAAGCAATTTATGTATCAGGAATTTTACAGAAATTACAGAGCAGTACAACTAACATTACTTTATAGCATACCACCACGATAATCTGAAATATTACCATGCTTGGGTATGCATGGAAATGCACACAGAATATGAATTCAGAACAATCCTGACTACAAGACAGCAGAATTACAAACCCAGGGATGGTGAACATTTTAGAGCCCAAAACCCACTTATGTAACACCAAATGGCAACATGCAATTAAACTGAAACACCAAGGCTCTAGTTCAGAAAAAACAACTCATATATTAACATCTTTTCTTAAAGGAAAAACATCATAACATGCATGTCATAGGTTTGCCACCACTACCCTAACCTCTGAGTTAGAACACAGTGAGGACACAAGCCCTGTCACGTTGAGGCTGAGATTCAGATAATGGACAGAACTGGGAAAAGAGCTACATCTGTCATGTCTTCCAAACCGAGCGGAGGACATCTGCAGCTATCGCCACCATCTCACTGTAGCACAACGGGAAAAACAGATGCAAAAATAGAAGTGAATATTCAACTATTAGCAGTGAGCAAAACTGAAATACAGCAGGCTGCGGCGGACAGACATGGAATGGGAAACGGCTTCCTCTAGCGCGCGCTGTCTGTCTCGAGTGGACAACATGCCAACCACCCAATGAGGTTTCCTCCCTCAGGTGGTCCCTGATGTATTCATAAGGGGCTAGGAGGAGGAGACAAGCGAGAAGGTTTCAAATGGACTCAGAGCAAGTAATATCCTCCTGACACCGAAGGAGCCTCCTGGGAGCTCCTCATCCTGCCAGGTGAATTAGCGCCTCTTTAGTAACCTTCTGAGCAGGCAAGGATCGTGGTAAGTGAGAGCGTTGCATGAGAGGACCAAGACAGCATTAAGATGATGCGGCACACTGCGGAGCCAGAAAACAACCACCTCGGTTTTTCCGGTCAGTTTTACCTCCGCTCTACTGGGGGGATGCTGACAGCCCACTTGGTAGGTCTGCACAGGAATTCAGTGGAAGAACTCTGGCTGATTGTCTGATTTTTTTTTTCACAGTGAAATATAATCCCCATATTATAAAAGTCTCTCTTTAAAGCGATGCACTTCATTGGTTTTTACTATATTTACAGGTTGTTCAACTAATGCCAGAATGCTTTCATTACCCCAAAAAGGAATCTCGTACTCATTAGTAGTCACCCCAAATCCTCCTCCATCAACAGTTTGCTTTCTTCCTCCATAGGTTTATTTTTTCTGCGTGTTTCGCAGAAATGGAATCATACAACATGTTGCCTTTTGTATCTGTTTTTTTAAAAAAATTTCGTATGTTTTCAAGATTCATCCTGTCAGAGCATGATCAGGAATTCGTTCCTTTAAAATAATTTGAGGTTTAATAATAATCACTTTAAAGTGAATAACACGGTGACATTTAGTGTACATACTCACCATGCTGCACAGCTTCTTTCAAACATCCTGTCACTCTAAAGCAAAAATTCTTATCCCTGAAGCAAAATTCCTTGCCTATTTCCCCATTCCTCCTCCTCCAGTCCTTGGCAACCACCAATCTATGTTCTGTGTCTATGCATTTATCTATTTGGGATATTTCATATAAATGAGCTTGTATGTGACTTCTGGTACTTGGCTTTCTTTACTTGGCATAGTGCTTTGAAAGTGTTTTCAGGTCGTGGTATGTGCCAGTATTCCTTTAAATGGTTGTGCATATTATATTATACAGACACACGTACCACAATTTATCTTTTCATCTGGTGATAAACACTGGGTTGTTTCCAATGTTTGGCTATTTTGAACAATGTGGCTACAAACACTTGTGTACAAGTTTTTATGTATAAATATGTTTTCATTTCTTTTGGGTATATGCTTATAAGTGCAATTTCTGGGTCCTATGGTAACTCTATATTTAACTTTTTGAGGCACTTCTAGATCATTTTCTAAAGTGACTGAACATCTTACATTCTTATCAGTAGTACATAAGAGTTCTAATTTCTCTATATCATAGATACACTTTTAATATGTTTTTTATTATAGCATTCCTAGTGACTGTGAAGTGGTCTCATTGTGTTATTTAGCTTGTTTTGAAATTGAAGTCATTCATATACATAGTTTATTTGTTTATTTATTTATTTATTTTTTAAGACCAGATTTTACTATGTAGCCCAGGCTGGCCTTGAATTCAGCAATTCTCCTGTCTCAGTCTTGAGTTGCTGGGATCACAGATGTGTACCAGCATACCGGGCCACAGAGTTTAAAAAGGCAAGGCTTAGAGTATAAACCCTCCAGCCTTTCCATTTCCATGAGGCAAATACTTTAAATTCTTTCTGGTAACAGGCTTATGATGTTATTTTTAAACCCACTTTGGATGGCTTCTCTTGACTTCCGCCTATGAAAGGTGAGCACTTACTTCTGGGCACCCAAACACGCCTTCACCTTATCCCTGCATCTTAGCCCTGTGATTCCTAATCTCCATTTTCAGTTCAATCAGTAACTGCCGTTTGCCTTATTATGGCTATGCATGGACAACCTTATGAGGCACAAAGATTCTACTAACTTAATCATACTTTTTTCCTCTTAGAATCTAGATGACCTAGCGTGGAAATCTGTGTCATGTTTTTCTTCCCCCTCAGTTTTCTACATACCAATTACTAATTCGTACTGAAATCCTTCAAGTACACTGAAAATTTCTGGACATATTAAAATACATTGGTTATTCTCTTCCTTTTTCATCTTTTTTGGGGGGCACATGTGATCAGACAAGCTCAGGCACAATCAGCGTGGGATGGCCGTAGACACTGGGGCATGGGATCAGAACTCAGTATTTGTTGAATGAGTGAATGAAAGGATTAAAGATCTCTACAGTCAAAAGGAAAATTAGATACTACTTCCTCTCCATTGCAGTTACTTCTAGGTCACAATATTAATGTAATGGGTGCGTTCTGAGTGAGGTGAGGTCCAAACGCAGGGCCCTGAGAAGTGACCTGACTTCCTAAAAGTGATAGCACATTTTCAGGAGAAGCAGGCTGGGGCTCTAGGATGGTGGTCTTTGAGCCCTCCTACTCTATCAGGCTACTCTCACGGAAAACAAAGAACATTTATCCTGAGAGGGATGTGGACTCTGGATCTTTATCATTCAAACCTGTTCAGTGCCTGAAACCTAAAAAGTGCTACTGAATCCAAAGGAAGGGCAAAAACAGTATCACCAAAATGTGAAAGCCTTGTACGCACACTGTTGTATTGCATGGTCTTATACCAATAATTGGCCAGGATCTGAGAAATCCAGTCTTTCCACAGGAATTACAGTACTCTGAGGACCATTACTACTAATTTGACCCTGTCTAAGGCTAGTCTTTCTAATGTAGTCCCACGGTCCCATGCCCAAGCAGTGTATTTGTGCAGGATCATTCTGTGATTGGCACATATTGCTTCTTCTGCCTGATCAACGTCTACTTCTCCATCATCTACTTCTCCATCCTCTGATAAGAGTTTGATTTTCTTTAACACCAGGGATAGCAACCGTGGGACGCTGTGTATGTGGAGCTGCCAAGAATCACGCTTGGAGAGACCTGCTTGAGCTCAAGGCTCACTGTGAGCAGGGCAGAGCTGACAGGGGAAGTAGGAGAAAACCCTTCATGCCACAGCTTAGCTTCTGCATCCTGCTAGATCTGCAAACTTTCCAACTGTGTGCATCAAATAACCATGTTTGAGTTTTGTTTCTGCCCCTTCCAGCAAATAGGAGTAGTGACTAAAGAGATCTGAAAAAGGGGCTGAGCCACTTCTGGGTGCCCGTGCAGTACTGTCAACTCTGAGGTCCCCTCATTTTACCCTAGCAAGAGAAGATAAACTCTCGCTAGTCTGATGCGATACTAAATTAACAGAGAACCTCTCAAATTCAGGTTCCTGATCTTCTTGATAAAACAAAACAAAATACCATAATGGTTCCAGAAATTACTAAATACAAAGAAAATTATAAGACCAAGCATGATTTAGCAAGTACTTCATAAAGCACATTTTAAAGGCAACTGGAGCTTTGAGCTTATGCTGTATAAGCATTTATTGCGCTTATGTATTTTCACAGCATATTTATATCTGCATCTTCATCTGATTTCCACTGAGGCTTATTTTTTGATAAATGATCCACATTTTAAAGTTGTCTTCCAGCATAAAGACAAACCAGGATATATATTATAAATAATGGATCAATTCCTTCCATACAAAATCTTAAAAATTTTCCTCTTCCTTAACTTTAGTTTCTTTTTCCTGAAATTTTACTTAATTTTCCAGTCAGTTTTTCTGAATTCTACCACTAAACAAATAATTTTTATTTCTCAGGTTGTAGCGAAACCATGAACCATTTTTTCAAACTTGCTTCCTTTTCATTCCTATTTTGTTTTCCTCTAGCACGTGTACAGCGCCCCCCCCCCACACGTGTACGTCTATGCGAGGAACACAAGCTTAGTTTTGAACTAGCCCTGTTCTTTAATGGATACGTGGCCCTAAGGAAGCTTCCTCTTCAGGAAGGCGGTGGGAGCAGTACCTGCCTCATGTAATTGTAAAGCTCGGATGACACATATGCAGAAGATACATCAAGCATGCAGGAAACGGTAGCTGTTATTATCTGATGGCTAAAAGAATGATCTCTGCTAAACAAGGCTCCTGCCATTCATTCTGCAGGAGGCTTGTAAGACACAGCTGGAAACGTAAGCTCCAGGGGGACAGAGATTCTGCTTGGTTCATTCCCATACCCCCAGTGCCAAGCATGTGACAGGTACTGAATGAAAGAATGAATGAGAACAGAAAACACAGATGTAATTTTACTGGTGTTCTGATTTTATGGATGAGGTAACTGAGGTTCACCAAGAGTTATTGATGGTGACTTTGAGATGATTAAGACACAATGCTCTTGCTGAATGTTCCATTCTGCCGTATCATTTCCTAGGCTTTATCTCATTATCTTAGTCATTAAACGATTATGGAAGGCCAAAAATGAATTGTTACAATGTAAAACCTACCGTGGTGTCCACAGCCTTGACTTTCTCGGTGTGAACGTGCTTTGGAACAGGATCCGTCTGTGACACCATCATGCATCCTTCAGCCCCCAAGGTGATGACCACAACCTGGCAGCCCCTCCTCAGGAGCACAAGGGCAGCCTTGCCAGCCTCTTCCGGGCTGCTCACTGTGAGGCCTGTTAAAATCTCGGCCTGGAATACACAAGGGAACAGGAAGTAGGTGAAAATAATTAAACAGAATCCACTCCTAGAGTTGTTTTTCTAGAAAATGTGTCTCCCTTCTTCTTCTTCTTTTTTTTTTATAACAATCAATGTGACAGAAACTTTGATGGATACTGTACTAGTACAGAAAAGTAAATAAAAAAGAATAACAACAACAAACCTCATTATAAAAGACATTCTTGGAATAAACAAGCAAATTTGAGTATGGCCTGGATATCTCATAGGACACTCTAAAATGACCGGTATTTCCTAAGGGTGATGATGGCATTATGTTTCCTCTTAGGAGACTCACACTCAAGTACATAAGGTACACGCTATGGCTTGCATCTACAAGGTACCCCCGACCCCGCCACGAAGCCTCACCAGGTCCAGGGGGGACTTTTCCCCAGGGGTGGCTGGCTCTAGAATGTGTGATGGAGATGAAGGGTATGTGATTACTGATTGGTTTGGCGCAGTTCTGGGTAGGATTAAGGACGCCCCACCCAGGACGTGAGTGCTACCCACCCTAAAGGTGTGTCGCCTGGATAAAATATAAGGAACAGAAAGGGCTGGCACTTGTTGCTTGCTGCCAAAGTTTACATGTAAATGGCAAAACTGGCCTATACGCTTTTCACGTCCTTTCTTAATTCTAGGAAACATCTCGTGGTTTTCCCTCTCGTGGAATGTCTGACTCTCCGGTTCTTCTATTGTTTTCATCTTTCCCTCTAGTCAGTGTAGTGCCCTTCAATATTTCAAAAATATTTCTTTTTGCCTTGCTTTCTCAGTGACTTTCCCCACCCGTGGGTAACTGGATCTTTTACTTTACTACTTCTTTATTCTAATATAATGTTTATTTTTCTAGTGAATGATTTAAAAAAATTCCAAAAACTTTCATTTTCAATGGGTTCTAATGGGATATTTTTCATATTCACATACTGTGGCTTTGTTTTCCTTTACAATTTCTTCCTTTAAAACGAGTATCAGTCACGTATGTGTGGTCTTTTTTGCCTTGTTTGGCTGTATGAGTTTCCTCTTGGTCACACTCCTCTTTAGATGACCGTCGGCTCAGCTCCCCAGCGCCCGGCCTCCCTGTCTGCAGGCCCCTGCACACCCTCACCCCCCACCTGGCCTATCCCTGACTGTCCGGTGGTTTGAGTTCTGTGTACTAGGCCCCGAGGGTCTCTAACCCGGAGACAGGTGGCAGCCGGGACACTGCCAATGTGCTGGTTTCCCTCCTGGTGAGCGGCGGGGTTTCTGTCCTTTGGTCCCCTCGGGCTGGGAGTCCCCTCCTTTCATTGTTAGCAGGGGCGCCACAGCCGCACAGGCATGTTTCCCAGTCACGGCACTGCTGCTGTCCCCACGGGCCGCACACTAGTAGCGCCAGTTACCCACAGAATGAGAGCTTCTACCACCTCTGCCTGCTTCTGGACTGGAACGCTCCAAGAAGATGTTGCACTTTCCCGTGTGTGTGTGGTTTCGGAGTCTGGGTACTAGTCCTGGCTGGCCTTCAACTCTCTATGTAGCCCAAGCGAGCCTCAGACTCTCAGGGATCTTCCTGCCTCAGCCTCCCGAGTACCAGGATTGTAGGTGTGGACCAACATGCTTACTTTATTTGTCACACTTGTTCTCTTCTCACTGTATTTCTATATCTATATCTATATCTACATCTATATCTCAGGTCTCAGAGGCTTGGTTAAAGCAGGAGATTCTTTTTTTTGCTTTTGAACCAGGGCCGTGGAACTGTATCTCTAGTCTCCCACCCAAGTTTAAAAATTTTTAGACAGGGTCTCAGTAAATTTCAGGGCTGGTCTTGAACTTTGAAATCTTCCTGACTCAATGTCTTTAGTAGCTGAGATTATCGTTATACACCACCACACCAGCTCAGCAAGATTATTTTAAGCATGAATTTACATTATTAGTGTAAATTATTTGAATCTACCCATAAGAAAATTAAAATTTTGTGTTTTGTGTTACGTATTTGAGACCCAACTTCCTTAGAGTTCATTCATATAATAAGCATTTGCTAGGTGCCAACTATGTGCTGGTGTGTGTGGAGATGTCACTTCCCAAAGATCACCGTATTAATGTGCATCACAAAAGTGCTGTTTTACACAGTGTGTTATGTTTTAGATGGAAGGCCCCCCCACCTTCTGAGCTCAGAGCTGTAGTTTGGAAGGTGACTGGATTATGGGGCACCATATTCATCAGTAAGTGAAGCCAGTGAGGAGTGCCGAGTGTGTTGTTAGGAGGTGGGCCCTTGCTGGGGGTGGCCACTGTGGGTGTGACCTGCAAGTCTGCTCTTGTCCTTGGCTCCATCCTTCCCTCTCTTTTCTAGCTGCTGTTAACTAAGCATCTTTGCTCTGTCATGCCCTGTGCCGTGATGTTGCCTTAAAGCCAGGCAACCATTGGCTGAATCCTCTGAACCATGAGCTAAATTAACCCTCTCCTCCTTTAAGTTGTGGGTATTGGGAATTGTGTCACAGCAATGGCGACATCTAATACATTGTGACAATATAGTGTTCTATGAAGTGGTAGGACATTCCTGCTCCAACCAACGGATTGGGGCAGAAGTGATGCTGTGTCGTGACCTCTAAAGCTAAATAATAAAAGCCAACATGGCTCCTGCCTAGAGCTCTTCTCTCTCATGGTAGATCCTGGAACCTGGTACCCTATTGTAAGGAATTCCAGGCCACAAGCAGAGGCTGTGGTCTATGGCTGCATTATGTTCCAGCCAGCACAGAAGACGCCAGCAGCTTCTATCGAGCACGTGGCGAAGATGTTAGGTAATTCCATCCCCCAGCTGAGGACCCAGGCACTGCAGAGCAGACACTGACGCCATACTGTCTGATTTCTGTATCCACACAAGCTGAAACAGTGGCTAGTATTGTTATCAGGCACTGCATTTTGTAGTAATTTATTATGCACCAAGAGAGCTATACACACAGGGACAGCTTCTTGGGCTACAATGGTAAGACAGATGTCCTGACCTCATGGAACTTGTAATTTAATGGAGAAGATAGAAGAACTGAATATATAATTTGGACTGTGATGAATGTCTGAAGAATAAATAGATTGCCTTTTAAATGTCTAGCAAGGAAATCTAAGCCAGTTTGTCAGTTGAAAGTAATCTAACCCCTTATTGTGAAATGGTCACCATCTTCCACAATTCCTTTTTCTTAGCCCAAGGCCTGGACATAGTGATTGCTCAAAAATATTGCATAACCTATTGTGGTTTTGTTAAAATTAGTTTCCATGTACTAGTCTTCTTTTTGTGTTCTGTATGTTTTATCATGAAACAGGTCAAGAAATTCTAGCAACTGTCATTCAGGCTTCAAATCAAGTGGAAAATTTAAACAATTCATGAATTACTGTTTCTCTGTTGCATTTGCTTATGTGTATTTGTATCCTGCATCCCAACAAAGAAAGAGAGCTCTGCTCTAATGCTATCTGGCCTCAGAAGAGGAACAAATTACTACTCAGGAAAGAGTGATAGATATTTTGTGCCGACATATGCATCATAAGTCTCAAAACAGCTCTCTCAATGCAGAGCCCCCTAAAGGCTTTCCTGTGTTATCCATGGAGAACCTGTGACTATCTACCAGTGATGTGATACTGCCCAAATAATAGAAAGTAGCAGATATTTTGGGGCTCTATACTCGGTAAGGCTGATTTAACAGCTTCCAGATAAAAGATCAGAAGCTCAGTGAAATCTGAATTTCTGAAAACAATAAATACTTTTGCAGTATTTAAGTATGTCTAGTAAACTGTTCACTGACGATCTGAAATTCAAATTCCACTGGGCATCTTGTATATTTATTTGCTAACCTTGGCAACTCTAATACTAATTAGACACAGAATATAGAATAACAAGAAAGGAAAAGAAAAATACCAACAAAGTGAAGGGGCTAACACTGAGGGTTGGTAAGTGCCACATTACAGAGGTGGCTCAGTAAACGCTTCACCTCTAGCCCTTGGAGTTACTGATTTCCTTCTCTCTATAAACTGAAAAAGTCAGCTTTCAGCTGTGTGTAGGAACTCTCTCATGACCAAAGGATGAGGTTAACCCTGCCTCCTTCCCTTATCCACCGGTGAAGGTCTTCTGGTTGCTCACAGAAGGACCGAAGCATCTCACCTCGCTTTCGTTGCAGCAAAACACGTCTGAGAGGGCATAGAACTGGGGAGCCAGGTCAGCGATGGCAGGGGCTGGATTGAACAATGTTTTCACTACAAAGCAGAGACGGGGGTTGAACGGTTAGTACATTAAGACTGGGGTTCTTACAGACATTTCTTGGGGCAAATGGCTGAGTGCAGTCATTTTTGCACTCCTCAGATTAAATACCCACTAGGTGACAGATTAGAAGAATCTGAAACTCAGCCTCTAGGAGAGCTGAGTACTGCTTCCTTCTTAGTTGCATTTCCTCCATTTGTCATGCTAGCATCGAAATGTTAGCGTTTCAGCTTTGAAGGTGAGCATCAGTATTTACGCCAAGGTGATTCCAGAGTTATGTCAGGGGCAGGAACATTACAAGAAAAACGCTGTGGCGTAAAAGGACATGTATGAACGTGAACAGGCTACTCAACCTTTCTACGGGTTGCTTTACGTGCTTCATTGCAAGGCTAATTCATAATTCCTTTTTCCAGGGAAGAAAAAAGAAATGACAGAAAATTAATAGTTCAAAATCTCCCTGATAAAAATAGTACGTAGGAAACTCAGGTACACGTGTGTATTTTGTGTACCCATGCTTTGCAGTTATATCACAATTATGCACACACACACACACACACACACACACACAAGCTTACATTCTCGGCTTTTGTGAGTAATCTGGAAACTTAAAACAAAGCATTAAGAAGTCTGAAAAATTAGGGCTGAGTACCAGCTTTGACTATGAGGCTACAAGAGAAGGATGAACAGAGCCAGCAGGAACAGGGAAAGGAGAATGCCACAGCCACTGCATGTCACAGAAGGGAATTTTTTGGAGAAAAATGAGACTCAGAGAAGTGAAGTCCTATTTTGAAAGCCTTTCCCTGGGTTGTGGTTAAGCTTAAACCCCTACCCAGGGACCCCTGGCTTTAAATTCAAGGTTTGACCTTTTCTGAAATAGTAGAACTCTTCTCTATGCCAGGACTCTGTCAATAGCAATCCACACCTTTAATCCTGAAATCACAGTATCTTTTAAGACAGCTTCTGGAGCCAAACTGTGAATTATTTTACTGATCTTAGCAGTTAAATTTGCAGGAAGATCTCTCTTTGTCACAACACTTATTCAGCAGAGCACACAACTAGATTGGTTAGTGTTTTTATCAACTTCGGTCCACTGACTTAACTGTTAAAGAGTTACAGACTACAGAGCCACAGTGTAAAATCCGCCAGCTACAGTTCTCAGAGACTCTTTTAGAACAGTGGTTCACAAGCATAGTCCTACACATCAGCAGCACCAGGAGACTGTTCAAATGCAAGATTTTCAGACTTCATCTCAAACCCACTGAAGTAGAATTTCTAGGGTGGAGGGGTAAGATCAGGCAGTCTGCACATTTACAAGTGCTCCAGGAGGTTCTTACACAGTTAGCCTGGTAGTGATCCACTGCATGTTCCCGGGGAGAAGTTACTCAGCTGGTGCTGACACAGACAGCCCATCCCTGCAGCCTGGTAAGGCTGTGAAGTGTATTTCTTTACCTTCCCAGGTGTTCCTTGATGTTTTGGGTAAGCCAGTGGTCTGGTCCAGTGTGGCTAACACTAGTCCCACATGCCTGTTGTTTTAGAATACACAACATCCATGCACAGAAATTCTATGGTATATTTTTGGCTGCTTAGAGTTTTGCACAGGACTGTTATGCAGCTTAAATTAGAAAATGGACATAAAAGCACTGTGTAAACTGTAAAGTTTTGTACAAAAGCAGAGGATTATTACTATCATTATATTGTCCTTTACATGCAGCCCAGCAACCCCGCCTGTCCACCCATTCTTTTGCCTTTTGCTGGAGTGTGTAGCCTGGTGACAAGGTTCTCCCACTTCTGCAAGGCTTTGGTGATGTCGGTAATGTACAGAAGGCCCCACTTCCCGCATCCGGACACTCCCTCTTACTTCTGAGGTTTTCTTAGCAATATGTTCTTTCCTTTACATCTGACAGAAAATGTCAAATATACAATGATGCACAGAAAATAGTATGGTAAGCCCCTATATACTGTAATGTATTACATTACATCTAAACACTCTGGCTCAGCTCCTGTGATCCTCAAGTCTGCACACACCTGTGTTAGAGCGCAGGCGAGAACAGTGACTAGTACAGAGAGGAGCGAAGTTAGAGAAGTTCCTTTTGTCTCAAAACATCGCCAATCTACCAATACCTTTTCCAAACTTATCCTACACGAAGCCACAGGCTTACAAGTATGTCATCAGTGATGCTTACATGACTCTGTTTGTAATAAAAATAAAATCTACACATCTACCAAAGGGGAGTGGCTAAGACCACTGTATGCACCTGACAGAATACTCTCCAGTTGCTAAAAAGGATGAAGCAGGGCTCTGGTTTGTCAGAGGAAGATTTCTGAATTTATTAGAAGTGAAAAAGCCTGTTGTAAAAGGAGATGGGGAGAAATGTGATTGTAAATTAAGTTCCACAGATCATGCAGATATCATTGTTTATACATATATAGTAACTTCCACAAAAAACTGGTCCATACTTATAAACATGGCACCAGGAGATGAGGCAGGAGGACTGCTAGTCTGAGGCCAGCCTGGCCCACATAGCAAGACCCTGTCTCAACAAACAAACAAAACCAAAAGCAGGTACACTATGAATGATATAACATGTAGGTTTTGTAATGGAGATTAGGGAGTAATGAGCTGAGGTACAGAAGTTCTGCCTGGATAACTGCTGAAACTTAATGACAGTATATATGGGCTTTCTGTACTATTTTCTGTGCATCGTTGTATGTTTGACATTTTCTGTCATAACAAATTTCATCACAAATACTGAGGGGCTGGGGATTTAACTCAGCGGCATAAGCGCCTGCCTTGCAAGTGTGTGGTCGTGAGTTCGATCCCTGGTACCGATAAAAATGAAAAAGACAAAAAAAAAAAAAAAAGATATCACAAATACTGTATAAAATCAATCAAACCTGATTTGCCTAAGATAAGATTCTTACCAACAATAACCGAATACGTGGGCTTACAGTCTGATAGTTTAGATTAACAAAATTTAGGGGAAAAGGAAAGAAGAAACCCATCTTGGCTCATGCTACCATGACTATACAGAAACACTCTACTATCAGGAAGCAGGAAGAATTAGTAGATGGAGTTAGAGAGAAGAACAAATTTGTAATGGACAGGATGGAAAAGATGCTGTCACGCTGGGACCAGGCAAAGGGAGGGAATCCATGGGACAGGACTGCAGAGGCGACTGGCAGCTTCCCCCAGTAATTGTTACTCATCATGGTGTAAGATGGACCGATCTCCTGCCTATCTTTACCGTGTGTCAGTGGCTGACACGGTAATGTCAGGGAAGAGCTGGCGAGGCCAGGGCAGCAGCTGGATGGGCTGAGATACAGGGAGACGAACGGAAGTTCTTCATGTGCTGACAAGGGCGGGCAGGGGCTGAGAAGTTAAAAAGGTCCCAGGAACTAGCTTAGAGAAATGGGGGGAATGTCCCCCTGAGCTGAGGAGGCGTGAGGAGGCTGAGTACCCAAACGCTGGCTGGCTGACTCTTGCCCTGGAGGTTCTTTCCTGTGACTTGAGCAGCAAAACCTGTACAAGCTTAGGTCTTGGGCTGGATAATGTTACTGTCAAAATCTAGGTGGCCAGCCAGGAAGTTTTGTTTGCCAACTGGAAAATAACTAAAGAGGCATTAAAAGACACTTTGTATCATACCTAAGATTTAATCTTGGCGATCTTACAATGTCAATTATTTATAATTGTTCCTGTAATGTTCCACTTGCTTTGAAATGGATATAAAGACCAGAACCAACACGCAGACTTTCATCACTGGCCGCCGCCGCAGCAGCTCACACTGGGCCTTTCCCCCTGTACTGTGACCTGGCAAGGACGGGGCCGTACTAGGAGACCAGGTTTTTTTAATGTTGTAGGTGCTGTCTCTAAAACCAATGGTTTTTTTTTTGGAGGAGGAAGGGCAAAATAAGTAAATAAAGCCAATATTTTAATCTTGGTAAAGAGAGGGAAAAAGAATTTTGAGATAATATACTCAAAGATGGGGGATCTTTTCTTCTATATTTTAATAATTGATACATAATTTAGCTATATAAGGCATGTAATTCAAATTTTGCTGTTTGTTAACAGGTAACACACCGTGACAGTAAACTCAGATGCTAATGATGATTTTGTCATCTTTTCTGAAAATGTAATAATGTTCATTAGCACATGTCACCTCAAGAAGTAACAGGCTAGACACACGGTGCTCAGCAGTTGTGAGCTCCGCCTGCTACGCTCTGTGATCAGTCCACAGTGACATTAACAAGCTGCGAGAACTCTTGGCCAGAATCTCCTGCTTCACAGAAGAAATGGAGGTCCAGACAGAGAACGGACTTGCTTGACTGAGGTTCCTTATGTGCTTAGTGAGTCATTCTGAGTTTGAGGCTACTCTTCAGGATTCCCAAACCAGTGCTCTCCTTCCATTAAGCCACTTTCCTCTCATCTGGGAATGAAGATGCATCACACTCACACATAGACACAGACACTCTGTAATACCTAAATTGCACTTGCATTTGCTAGTCTACCAAGTAGAGGAGAGCGCACGTGGCCAGAGATTGCAGGCTGCCTGGGTGATTTCCAGACAGAAGTGTGCCATGTGTGCCATGTGTGCACTGTGCGTGCACAGTGGGGCAGAGTCTACAGGGAGACACTGCTGAAGATACTCTACGGCTTCTTTTCTCTTTCTTTTTCCTCTTCCTTTTTGTTGTCAATTTTTTTGAGACACTATGTAGTCCAGGCTGGCCTTAAACTTGAGGTAACCCCCGTCTCAGCCTCCCAATTTCTACCAATTTAGGCTGGTGCTACCATGTCTGGCTACTTCTCTGTTTCTCAGGCAGCAAAAATACTCAAACTGTAGGCCATACACTGGATGGTTAAAAGGATTGAATTTTACATATCCAGAGCTTCTCTTCATAAAGGCACAGTTCCTTGAAAGTAAGTTTGTGGAACTTTTTTGTTCTCTGGTACCGTGGATCTAACTCACGACCTTGGGCTTGCCAGGCAGGCACTTATACCACTGAGCTAAATTCCTAGCCCTGGAGCTTTGTTTTTAAAGTATGGCCGAGGAGACAGAACTTGGGTCTTTGACTCTGCAATTCTATTTTCCATTTACAAGTGTGAGGCTGTTTGAGCAAATTAACTTGAGTCTTCCTCCTCATCTTCAGCCTAAAAGAATAATGGCTGCTGTATCTTTGTCATGGGTACTTCTGAGGCTCAGATGTACAAGGAAGAACGTGGTAGGCCCAAAGCACATACCAAGGCAGGGTGTTAGTGCTTTCATGTCAGACAGTAGCCCCTCCCCACCTGTGGTCTTGTTTTCCACAGTTTTAGCTACCATGGTGAACCAGGGTTTGAAAACATGAAGGAAAATTCCTGAAATAGCAATTCATACATTGTTTTTTTTTTTTAATTTAAGGAGAAAAGAAAAAAAAAACAGTGAAGGGGTACAAGTTATACAGATTTACAGAAGAAAAAAATGCGCAGTAGGAAATCACTAGTTAATAGATTACATATTGCCATCTTAGAAATAATTGTTCAAGTCACAAAATTAAAGCTTGTAGAGTGGACATTCCAACAATGATACTGCAAACAGTTCTGTTCAATGATCCAATAAAACTCTGTGATATCATTTTCTATCTTATACACTTAAATATACATGCAGTTATATAGTTTAGAGCACTTTCTTTTCCTCCCTTTAATTCATACATTGTAAGTTGTATACCATTCTGAGTCATGTGATGAGATCACATGCCGTCCTGCTCCATCCCAAATGGGACACAATTTCCGCCGTCCAGCTCTCCACACTGACAGCCATCTTGGTTATCAGATCACCTGCTGTGGTACAAGGTGCTTGTGCTCGAGTGACCTTTATATTAACTAGTAATGATTCCAAAGTGCAGCAATAGCAAACCTGGCAATTTGGATATGCCAAAGAGAAGCCATAAAGTATTTTTTAAGTGAGAAGGCAAAAGTTCTTGATTTAGATAAGAAAAAAATATGTATGGTGAGGTTGCTAAGATCTACAACAAGGACAAATCCCCTACCCTTTGGTACCGGGGATGGAACCCCGGGCGCTCTACATTGAGCTATCCTCCCAGTGCGTTTAGTTTTTGTTTTTATTTTTAAAATCTTGAGACAGGGTCTCACTAAGTTGTCCAGCCTGGCCTCAAACTTAATCTTCCTACTTTCAGCCTCTGAAGCAGCTGAGATTTTATGGTAGGAGTGTGCCATCATGCCTGGAAAGAACTCATCTTCTATCCATAAAATTGTGATGAAGAAAAAAGATATCAGTGCTAATTTTGCTGTTGTACTTCAAAGTGCAAAAGTTACGGCCATTGTATATGATAAATGCTTAGTTAAGATGCATTAGAGTTAGGTATTATCTGAAGTTTCAGACATCTACGAAGGTCTGGACTGTATCGCCCTACCCCAGATAGAGGGGGACTACTGGATAGGAAGATCATGCACAGGGAATGTTTAGGCACCCTAATGTTTAGGCTTGCAGAGAATGTAAGGTATGCTAGGTGGTCTGAGGCTCACCATCACCTAATTCTCTTGTGCCCCAGGGCCTCCAGCTCCTCAAATGTAAGAGCTGCCTGGCAGCTGACAGAGGAAGACTTCTGGCCCCACCCAAATGACAGCTGGGCCCCACCCAGCTGCCAGCTCAGGGTCAGGTGGCTTGCCCACAAGGACTTCGCTCCCTCACCTGTGAAAGGCTGGCTCCTCAGCTGTGGCGGATGTAAGTTCCTCTCCTCCACAAGCTGGACAGGTAACAGGCAACTAGACTTGGACAGAGCAAAAAGTGACCTCCAAGAAGCAAGGGATAGGGGGAAAAAAGACAAGTTGTAAGAAAACGCATTCATCTATAGAGAGGCAGGAGCGAGAGTGCGGTGGGGAGTGGCACGCTGTGTTCACACCCCCAGCTGAGCTGAGCGCAGTGCAGACAACGCTTACCATAAGCATTAGGCTTTCTCCATGACACTTTGAGAAAATGTAACCAAATGGATTTTGGCTTAGAATTCTTTCTGACAGCTTTGAGTCCATTAAAAATACAGTAAATGTCAGTGAGAATTTGCCATGGCATATTTTGCCAAGAGGAAAATTTGTTAAATCAGGACACACACTTTAAAATTCTCCACAAAATCACTTCAGTGACTTATTTCCCATTTACTGGTATAGAGAACACTCTATACTTTGTGAGAAATCACTTATGTAAACACACACACACACATTCTACAAGTACTCTGTTCTACTTTTTTCTTTTTTTTAAGTTTTGTATACTGCTGTGAAAGTTTTATCTGGAAAAGTCAATGTAGTTTCTCTGTGTATTCTCACTGTAAATCACAGAATTATTGCTAGACTACCAGGCAAAAGTCATTGCCTTAGAGTGGCTTTTTATTTTGGTTTCTTTGGCCAAATGGTACTAGGGTCAGGACATTAGCCTAATTTTAATTAAGAAAAAAAAGTGGACAGGAAACCAGAAAAGTGGGATTTTTTGGCATGTGCTGTAACATGCTTGGCATTGCATTTTATTTTATTCCATCCTTAGAATAATTCTGTAGGGTGTATTTCTGTACGTATTTTACAGAGAGGGTCAGGAAAAGCAGCTAATCCTAAGACCACAAAGTTAATAAGAGCCAGAAATAGAGCTGCAATGCAAGAGATGCTTTTGCCATTAGACAAAGGAGACAAAAAGGCAACAAAAGCTACCTTGAAAGTATCTATTTATCTGAGTCAAACATGGGGGCACTTTCTGTAATCCCAACTACGTGGGAGGCTGAGGCAGGAGGATGGAAATTTTGAGGTTGGCTTGGGTGATTTAATGAGACTGAGTCTCAAAACAAAGGGCTGAGGATGTGGCTCAGTGCAAGGCCCTGGGTCACTCCCCAGAACCAAATAATAAGAGCAGGAAGTGGGGAGAAGGGGTGGGGAAGCAGATGAACCGAGAGTAGCCTTGGGTTAGGTGGTAACTTCTGAGTGATGGGTTTAATGACACCGTCCTACCTGTTCTGGTGGGTTTGGAAATTTTTGAAATCAAAAGTCAAACAGAAGAGCTGCTTAATATATATTGACAGAAAGTAATATATGTAATACTTATTTTCTGAAATGATGAAGTTTTATAAGGAGAGAGAAGGAATTGTTGACACCCAGAGATGTTAACCAACTTGACCTAGGCAGCGACGGAACGTGACATAGCGCTTAACCTTCACCTCTCAGAATGGAGATCCTCTCACTGCCTAGCAAGCGTCCTGGACGCCGGCTGCTGCAGATGCTGAGGCCTCCGCCCATCATTCCTGCTGGCTCGACTGCAGACTTAACTGAGGGGGACCAGATAATCCTCCTCACATTAGTTTTATCCTAGTTGTAAGTTTTTCTAATGTTATCAAGAACTGTAAGACAGTGAATCTCACAGATGGAGGAAAGAATATCTTACTACAAAAAAGTATTGCTTTGCTTAACTTAAAAGGTTAACTTTAATTAAGACAGCCGTAAGAGCTTTTACAGACAGTGACAAATATGTAACGTTACCTCCACAGTTGCGGGCCATTGTCAGGGCTTCCAAAGAAGTTGCTGGAGTTATTTCTAGCTGGCAGACCATTACTTTGGCTCTGCTAATGACACTTGCTGCCTCCCTCAGGTCTTCAGTATTCAAAAGTAAATTCGCTCCAGCCACAATGACAATGATATTCTGGCCTATAAAGAAATTCTACATATTTATATTAAAGCCAAGCGAAGCTGAGCAATGATATTCTGCAAAGCTACAATCATCTGATGTTATAATAAAGTCAGTACAAAATCTGAAGTATTAACTTTTAACATTCCTAGGACATTCAGGTTAAATTTTGTTTCAAATGTGTATTTTGTAGTTGCTCTGAGATCCAGATTATTCTGATTACTTTGTGTCTTCTCCCAGGAGACAGTCCCTCTATGACGTCTGGCTGGCTTTGAACTTCTGTGCTCAAGTAAGCCCCCTGCTTCAGCCTCCCAAATAGCCAAGACTACAGACAAGTGGCACCGTGCCTGGCCTATTTTCATTACTTCAAGCACCATCTTAAAAAGGTTTGCCTGATCATTATTTCAAAGAATATTAGTTATGCAAAGATACACAACATACTTTTAACATTTCTTTTGTGGAAAATGCTGATACAAACTATATGGTAAGGTTTGAGAATTCTAAGCCCCAGCTTCCATACAGAAGAGCATGAATAGGAATAAAGACACTTAACAGTTAAAACTGATGTCCTACAGTGTGCAAGCAGTTCATGTATGCACCCTATGGTACTCTGGAAGTGGTTCTGTTGATCTGAACACATTTTATAATATCTAACAGATGGAAAATTCTGCCAGATGAAGTAGAGAGACAAGAGGATTGGTCTGCAGTGTACCAGGTCAGGAGGAAGAAATGAGACTAAACAACCGGATACATCCTCATGACTTGAGCCTGCTCCACAATCCCATCTACGTGGTACAGCTTATCTGATCTCTTCAGAGCTGCGGCATCTGGTACAGAAGTAACTATAGCATGTGTGCCTATTAAGCGTTTGAAATGTGGTTAGCCTGAACTGAGATGTACTCTAAGTAGAAAATACACAGTAGATTTCAAGTACAGCACATAAAAAAGATTAAAATAGCTCATTATACTTTTTTTTTTTGCAGATTCATAGTAAGGGATAGCTCATTACACTTTAAAAACATTATAAATTAGGTGTTTGATTACTGGCTGAATAATATTTTAGATATATTAGGTTAAATAAATACATTATCAAAGGTATCTACCTGTTTCTTGCGGCTACTGGACAACTTAAATCCTACACATGGCTATATTTTATTTCTACTGGACATCACTGATCAGGGGGAATGGGCTGTAGCATGCGGGTGTGTGTGTGTGTGTGTGTGTGTGTGTGTGTGCTCCAGGATACTCGTGCTGATCTTGTGTAGACATGACCTAAAATTACTTCTCAACATAGAACAAATTCTAGTCTATCATCTTACTACAAATGTATTTTTTGGCGTGAGAAAGACTTAATAAAGTGGAAACAGTTTAGTATAAGCTTAACCTCAATCCTGGAAAAATTCATAGTGCCCACTCACTGAAAGATAGCATCTCTCCTCTTTTTCTCCTTCAGTGACCTCATTCGCTCTGTCAGAGTCAACTGAAGCCTGTGTTGCTGACTTCCAAACCTGTATTTCTTGACTGGCCCTGGCTGCAGAGCAACAAGCTCAAGACGATAGCTCTCTGCACTACAGCGGACAGTCAAGCGGCACGCTCAGTCTGGCCTCCATTTAACCAGTGCAGATGAACTCACTACTGTGCCTTACACACTACTCACCCTGCAATAAAAGAGCCTGACTGTCGCAGCTCTGTGCTGGTCCTAGCTTTTCTACCATCTACACTCCTGAGGACATTATTATACTAAAGTTAGCAAAGCCTGCAATAATAGGGACACAATTTATAATGGTATGTCTTTGAATGGAAAATGCAGATTTTGTTTCACAGTTAAGAAAGAAGGAAAGTGATGCTTTCCCTAGAATAAGAAGTCTAAGACATGAATTGAGCTGCTGTTGGCAGTAATAAATTAACTTACAGTGCACCATAAGGTAATGAAGATAGAGTTTCTATTGTTAGAATGAACACTTATACCTACTTTCCCTAAGCAATTATTATTCTAATTTTAGGATCACTGAAGTTCAGTTAAAATACAATGTTTATTACATAAAACTGCTATCCTCCGTATCCATAGTTTTGTTTCTCAAAATTTCAGTTACCTGTGGCCAAACTGTGGTCTGAAAAAATTAAATGGAAAAGTCCAGAAATAAATTCAGAGATTTTAAATGCTTGTTATTCTTAGTAGCATAATGAAATCGCATGCCATCTGGGAGGAGAATTATCCTTTGTCCAATGCACCCAGGTAAACGTCACAGGCACGCGCACATGGACCAGCTTATCACTTAAGACTCGCCCTGATGATCAGACTCATCCCTGAAATGATGCACCGCCTGCTTCATCTCAGCGGAAAGCCTAATGCTATGTCACCCATCTCTCCTTCATCTTAGCACACAGGCACTGTATCATCTTTTTATTCTTTTCTTTTTTGGTACCAGGAATTCTACTCAGGACCTTGATTTGCCAGGCAACTACTGTGCTACTAAAGCTATATTCCTCGCCTGGTATTGTATCATCTTGCATCACCATATAGTGCAGTAAGATTCTAAGACAGAGACACAGAAACTACATTAATATAATTTTGCTATAGTATATTGCTATAATTATTCTACTTTATTATTACTGTTAATTTCTTACTGCTAATTTATAAATTAAACTTCATTACTGTATATATGTACAGGAAAAATCATTGGAAACATTGATACATATTAATTATGTTTCAACCATGTTAAAGCCTTGTGGCAGACTTAATTGTAAATATATGACTACTGTTTAAAGAGTAGACAAATTGAACATTAATGGTAAGTTAGAAATATGTAATTAGTTGCTGCCATTTGCTCATTAAATAGCCTATATGACTCATGAAATTTTCTTTTGCACCTATTTACATTTACTTATGTAGTGTAATGGAAATGATGGGTGAGTATTTGACAGACTCTGGGAGGCAAATACCTTTAGGATCCTGTGAAGGGTAAAAGGTCATTATAGGATAAGACTGTGCTGATATTTACAGCTTAAAAATTTATTACAGTAAGATACATCGTTATCAGTCCCTCTCAAAGTATTCTCCTTTGCTTTAAATACACTTATCCTATTGTTCTTAGACTCTCTTTTCTTGATTTTGTCTTTTTGATTCAAAGTTTCTCTGTGCAGCTCAGGCTGGCCTCAGACTCGCAGTAATCCTCCTGCCTCAGCCTCCTGCGAACAGGGATTACAAGCGTGCACTACCACGCCTGGCTCTTGCCACTTTCTGAGTTCTGGAAGTGATCTTTTGTGAATGTCTTTAGTTGTGCTGTTGTGGCTATCCCAATGCCCTGAATCGAATCAAAATATTCATCTTTCATGGTCATTTTGACTTTGGGGAAGAGCTAGAAGTTACACAGCACCAGGTCCAGGGAATAGAGAGGATGAGGATTTTTGACAGAAATTCCCATAAGTGTTTAATCAATGAAAGGTGATTAAAAAATAGAATGAATATTTAAGTTAAAACACATAGCACAGTAAGAGTCACACTGCCACTCACTTCTCAAAGTCCCCTTTCTCCTTCAAAATACTCATGCCAAAAATAATCATTTTTGGTAATGTATTTTTTAGCGTATTAAATTAAAAAAAATTTAAATGTACTCTACATTTTTGGATCACCCTTTATATACTGATTGGATAATTTTATATTTAAATGATCATAATGGGAAGTATAAATAAAAGGAAATACTTATATTTTGATTGGAAAAGCCAATGGATAGGTTTTAGAATGGTGTACTTAGCGAGAGGTCCATAGGATGAGGGTCAAAATCCCAATCTGGATGTGGAAATGATCTGTTTCAGGAAATGACACGTCTGTATGTGAATACGTACCTTCATCATTAACAATTATAGAAGCAGCTCCAGTAGCGGCATCTTTAGTCTGATATGTAAATTCTACAAGAAAAAAGAAAGTTACAATCATGCACATGCAGCCTGCCATGGATAATTTATTTTAACAATTTCAATGTGACACCAATCCTTGGAAAAAGTTTTTAACCTTTAACCATCTGGAATGAGCTAAAAAATAAGTAATTGGTGCTAATTTATACCCATCACCTATACAATGTGGGAAATAAGCATCATTATATTTAGTGGCACCTTTTCTCAGTAACAGTGACACCTATCAAATCACCCCAATATTATTCATAGTCATATATAGATGCACTTTCTAGACCACTACATTTATTTTCTCTAGTGAAAGAAATGATACGCTTGAGATAGAAACAAAACGTTGAACACATAAAATGGACTTGTTTGATTTTCTTCATTCTTAAGCTCTGCGCTCGGGCTGAGAATCACGGTCCAGCACGTAAACAGAACGTTGTCAAGACAGCCCTTGGCAGTAGCCAAGAGCTCTGAATAGCAGTCAGGAGACCCGCTTTCCAGTCCTGGCTCTAACTCTAACTAGCTGGGTGCTCTTAAAATCACACAAATCCTTTAGAGCTTCAGTTTTCTCGTCTGTGACAATGTTTTTAGACTCAATGATTTCTATGATTGTTTCCAGCTGTAACGTTCAGTGACTTTTTCTTAAAATACCTTTTGTGAAATGCAGTGTCTGTTTTTCCTGGTCACATATCCATGAGATGAAGGTCTGTAACCTCCCGTCCTTTTATTCCCATTTGAAGGAATGCATAAAAAAAAATTCACGAGGGAACATTTAAGTAAGATCAGATGAAGCTGTGCATAAAAACTTTCTGGCCACCAGGGGAGGATCTAATAATTCTATTCTATGTTAAATTTTCTTATAACAAGATTGCAGAAGAAAGTTATAAACACTAATTTTAAAAAAGATAAATTTTACCTGTAGAAATACCATTCTGTTTTAAGTTTTCTATATAATCATTGCCAAAAGAATCTTTGCCAACCTGTAACAAGAAATGATGAACATTAGATCTTTTACATTTAGTAAAATGCTACAATGTAGCTTTTAGAATACTTAGCACTTTAAAATGGCATATCTGCACAGTACTTTATAAACATTAATTAATCTTCCTAATGTAAGATGCTAGACTTGATTTCAGCTGAATGAATTGTTGCATACTGCCTTAATGTTTCACTGATAGCCTACCTAAAATGTGAAGCATTTAATGATGGTTACAAGGTCTCTAGCTCCATTCTCATTTTGATCTGTTCATCTGACAACTGCACAGAGAGGCATACATCATCATCAATCCTCAACACGTATGAAGGATCTCAGTGTTCACACTGCAAATGAAGACATTTTTATAACAACTTGCTCCATGTTCTTGAATCTTCTTTCTTCTTCTGGCACTGGGATTGAACCCAGGGCCTTGAACATATACTAGGCAACTGCTCTCCCTCTCACACACACCCTCAGCCCTGGTATCTTGCCTTCTGTAACTCTGATATGTGTGACAAACAGCAGGGAGTTTTTAAAGCCTTAGCTGGCTTGGGTAACTTGGTGTAGTGGGGTTCTGTTGTTTTGCATCCTGGCATCCACTCTGTGAACAGCACTCTGAATTGTCCTTTGCACAATCATTCCTCTTCTATTCACAGACAACACGATTAGATTGGTCAGGGGACCTGGGCCTGATTAAGAAGCCACTCCGGTCACAGTGGACTTCAATCAGTCCACTAAGAATCGATCTTAGAAATCTTAAGACTATTGGGGAAGATAAGTTGTTTTCTTACAGCCTCTTGCTGTAAGATAATGTGAGCTGGGAGTTACTGAGGAGTGTTCTGGGGGATGGCCTGAACAAAGAGGGAACACTAAAAGAGGAATGGTGACAGCCACAGAGATACAGACTCCTAATAGTCTGATGGACCCCTAAACTGCCTCAGCAGGCCCTGTCACTGGGTTTTTCAGTTACATGAGCCACAACACATTCCCTTTTCCCTTGGGCCGGGTTTAGCTCAGCAGCATAAGTGCCACCTGGCAAGTGCTGGATTGTGAGTGGTGGTGGGCTGAGTCACATGAGCCCTGGATGTGTGTTGTTTCCTCTACTATTAAAAAAGCAAGTGGAAAGTACAGAGTTCTCATATAACTTCTTCCCACTCTCCCCCACCTCTCACTATCAACGTCCTGCACAGAGTGTACATCTGTTATAACCCACACTGACACTTGTAAACTACACACTTTCCACCAGGGTTCATTGTTCCCCTCTGATCCTGGAGGTTGTACCTGGGGCCTTGCACATGCCATGCTCCATCTCTGAGCTGTGGTACCTCCCAACACTAGGCTTCATATTCTGTAGGTGCCATAAATGTATAATGCCATGTGTCCATCATTATCTTACCATAAAGGATAGTCTCCGTACCTAGAAATCTCGTTCTCTGCCCATTCATCCATTCCTTACGCTAGTCCCTGGCAACCACCTGATCTCTTCACTGTCTCAAATTTTATCTTTTCTAGAATGTCATATTGTTGGACTCACATAGCAGCAGCTTTTGCAAACTGGCTTCTTTCACTTAGTAACATGCATCTAAGGTTCCTTGGTATTTTTCTGTTTCTTTTTGGATTCATCAATAGAAAGTAACCTAAAGATTTACTTTGGTCAAGATCCCCAATGAATGAGGATAAAATTACATTGTAAGATTTTGGACAGCATAGGTCAAGTGAAAAGCTTTTGGCTAAAGAAACAGACAGTTAATATTTTAGGCTTTGCTGGCCATATGATCTCTTATTCAACTCTGCCAATACAGTATAAAAGAAGCCAAAGAAGATCTTGAAACAAGCAGGTGTGATGTATGTTGCTCCAATGAAAGTTTATTTACAGAAGTAGGCAGTAAATAGGATTTGTCCTCTGGGCTGAGTTTGCATGATTTATATCCATATCTAATACCTTCTTCACCAAAGAACTCTTTTTCCTTTATCCCTTTTCTGGAAATGCTGGTTAAGCAATAATCTAAAATAGTGTACAACATTTTTCACTAGCAGAACCACCATATTTACAGCATAGAGCATCCAGCAGTGAGCACTATTGTCGGGTGAGTTCGCGGTTGAAGTAGCTCACCTGCCAAAGGTATCCCTTAGGAGAGCTCAGCTATTTATCTGCCAGCTAAGTGCAAAACTGTCCAGGTCACAGGTCAAAGATTCATACCAGAAACAGATTCTTTGCCCTGTCATCTTGTTTTATATAATAGTTTTCTCCCATGCCCATCATAGAGTTCTATAACTGGGAAGATATCATTATAAGACTGTTAGAGGGATTAAGAAAGCGTCATTTCTAGGCAGGTGGGGCTTAGTACACATTAAGGCAATGAAATGCCTCTTCCATTTGTTAACAGTTTTGTGCAGACAAAGTCTGCTAAAGGTGAACATCAGCGACAGCACTGATAAACGGAGGTGATAATACAGACACTGGGGAGCACAGGGATTAGGAGGATTGTTGCAGGGAAGAGGAAACTCAAAAGTATGTAGCTTTATCTTCAAGAAACTGATAACAGCAAAGGATAATAAGACATATAGAGACAAGCATAATCTAGGCAGACTATCACGTGCGTCAGAGGCATAATTAGGAAGAGATTTCACGCTCCAGGAGATTTCATTTTGGAGTCCTGCTGCAGTGGTATTCTAGAATCTACTATAGCTGCTTTCTCTTTCCTGCTCAGGGAGTTACTTGCCGTGCTACATCTTTTGATGATGGTTATGTTTTCATATTTATTCTAATAAGAATTTCCTGACAAATATGTTTGGCTGGGCTTCTAAACTGTATGTGAGAGGAATAACAAAGTAATTTTGTTTTTGCCTTGTCTGATGTTAGCTTGTTAAAAGTGAAAATCTGGCAAAGGAAAACACTGGGCAAGTAATGCTGCTGCTAGCTAAGAAGCTCCATCACTTCTGCATCTAGGTTACAGGAAAGAAGGAACAGAGAGGACAGAAGACAGTGTCTTCACTTGTGTTACGGAAAGTAGAAGCCTTCTGTATGTGTGATTTGGGGCAAGCCACTTTAATTCTCTCTACATCTCAATTTCCTTATTGGGAAAATCAGCAAGTGAGGAGAAAATAAAATAACTTTGTCTATGGAAGCACATCTGAAACAGGAAGGGGTTAAGTAAAGCCTCGGCGCTACATCCTCCTTTTCAAGGCAGTGGGGCTGTCTGCAGCCTGTTCTTTGGGAAAGGGGCGCTGGGAACAGCTGCTTGCATTCAGTTTTGATTGGTTTTGCAGGCCACTGAACCTGGAGCCTCGTGCACACCAGACAAGTGCTCTCTCACTGAGCTACTCCCCTACCCATGGACCCTCTTTTTTTTTCTCTCTTTTGATTGGTACCGGGGGTCGAACTCATGAACGCCTGCTTGCAAGGCAGGTGCTTATGCTGCTGAGCTAAATCCCCAGCCCCTATGGACCCAATCTTACAAACCACTTTCCTGCCCAGCTGCTCCCAGTTCCTCCTGTTGCTCTTTATTTTCAAAGAGAAGAACATGTGATCTTGAAAACAAGAATGTGGGTGCAGTAAGTACTTCTGAGATTCATCATTATTATTCTAATAAGAATATTAGTGCCTCCACTAATGATTTAGTGTGACTAGTACTGTTCAATTTTAGTGTATGTGCTACCAAAGCAAGTATACTAGTGTTCAATTTCTCCTGTTACTTTCATGAGGTTGGTATTATCAAATGGGGTATACTTGTGCTTTGGGTCTTGGGAGTAAGTTTTAAATGTTAAGTGGATCCAACTCACACAGTAAAATGTGAACGAAAAGCAGTGGAAATCAATATCCTATTTAAAATGGCTCTCCTTTTCATTCTGCATTATAGAGATGAATGCCAAATGCTACTTCCCTCACCCTACAAACCTTGTATATCTTCTTTCTTTTATGCTTATGGACTTAAAAAAAAAAGTTGAGAGAAATGTACACCTCTCAACCTCTTCTGCTTGCTTCTGACTCAAATTCAAGCTTTTTTTCTAGTTTCTGGAAACTGATAGTCAGAAATCAGAAGAGCAGACCTGAAATAAGGGCTTTATTTTCTGCTTTTGAAAGCTAAATGAGACTACCATGAAAAACACCGCAAATACTACAAATGGGAGTCCTGATTAAAAAATCTGTTATAAAGCACTAATGGGCTAATAAAGAGTATTGTAAAGGAATCTGTAGAAGCTTCTCTGTTTTCTCGGTCACACTTTGGCCACCAAAGGACACAAAAACTAAATGCAAGCGTCTTGGCCATGAGGCAAATGGTGCACATGGAAGTTGAGAAACTTGGAGTCTAATTTCAGTTCTGCCATTATCAGACTAATTAAAATTCTTTGCACTTTGTCTCAAATTGTTCCATCTGAGCCAGGCTGTGGTATGGGAACTGGTATGAGTTCGCTGTGGTAGGCAGGAAATCAGTGGTTCTCAGTCTTAGCTGTCCCAGGGTGCTTATAAAAATCCTGATGGCCTGGTTACACACCGGACTGAATCAGACTGAATCAGGCGCTGCAGCAGGTGCCCCAGGTGCTTACAGTGTGTGGCCTTGGTGGAGGATCACAGGGTTGCAGATTCCAAGTCAGGGGTGTCTGTAAAGTCTTGTGTGTAAGAAACATGAAAAGCACAGTCCTGAGTACTGCTGCCCTGGCGATTTAATAAATTAAGTGAGAGACAGAAAGTTGTGGGCTGCAGAATCTGCTGGAGCAAGTGGCCTACCAGGCCTCTAACATGTGGATAAAGACAGGATACAGTAACAGAAGTTTCCTTGGCTTCTATTTACTGACCCCAATCTCAATTTGATGTGGCCTAAGTATGTTTCCTTTTGCTTCTATTTTTCTGCAAGTCATATCTGGTAAATATAATCAGATGTCCATTAGGTAGGGTCACATGCCAGGAATCCTGGATACTCGAAAGGCTGACGTAGGAGGATTCCAAATTTGGGTGAGCTTGAGCAGTTTAGTAAGACCCTTTTTCAAATCAAAAAATAAATA